AGGACAGGCTGCCGACTAGACGAGACTGCTGCCTAGACGAGACCGACCACAGAAGGCTTCTGCTAGGCACACGGACCAGAGTTCATGTACTTGTACCAGTGACAGTAAAGTACTAGCAGTTATCCCATTCTGTCTTCTCTACGCACTGGGGGAACATAACCGGTGTTGACACAGGAACACACTTAGTTACAACAAATCCCCACTGCGATTTTCGTTAACTTTCCTTCCTATTGGCTGATTTAATATAGTGGCCTTCATCTGATGCTTATTTACAATGAACTTTACCCTTGCTGGTATGTTTTGACATTTTGCGAAAATTCGAACTGCTCTATGTTTTTTATGCTATCTAGGTCATGCAACGAGAGGTTCTAGGTGAAAAGCTGTCGCGAATGTTATCGAAAAAATCAATAAATCCTACTGCCTACGCTTATTTTAAGTTCGTACTGGATAAGATAGGCTTTGAGTATTGGCGAGGTCAGCATGTAGAGGTAATTGTGGTGGGAAATTTGGCTAGGCTTTGATATTTGGGCGAGCACGCGGAGTGAAAATGACTTCAGAATAAGAAGATGCGATCAATGGAAGAAGAGGTTTGTTTGCCTGACGCCTCGGATTCTGTCTTGGACCCTTCATCGAAGAAAACCATAGAATAGGGGGACAATCGCAGTTTCCTCGCGGAAGTAACTGAAAAAAACAAGCAATACAAGATCAACACACCAGGCGCAGGTGGTGGATAGTGGAGCGGCCTTCAACAACGCTTAGCTGCGAAATAAGCAGGCTCCAGGGTCTGGCGCGGAGGGCTGAGGTCTGGTGCACCGACCGCCTTATAAAATGTCGCAAGTCCCAAGGACGCCTCTGTGACACGGTGATCGCGAACCGCTATTAAATAGGCTTGCTTGCCACCGGTGTGTTGTCGTTAGGTTCTTGAACCAGATTGCTAGAGGAGACAGCCTCAAACAAAAAACAAACGAGCGGCTGTTGGGGACATGCTTGTATGAAAAACCCCTAAGACATCTCACGCCAAATGTTGACTCACAGTATGATGATGATCAATGCCACGG